CAATCAAAAAAGTGAAGAGAAAACCCACAGAATGGGAAAAAATCTTCACCAGTGACACATCTGACAGAGGTTTAACATCCAAAATATATAAAGAACTCAAGAAACAAAGAAGCAAGAAACAAGATAACCCAATTAAAAGATGGGCTAAAGACCTAAACAGAGAGTTCTCAAAGGAAGAAATAAAGATGACTAACATCGTTAGTAATTAGTGAAATGCAAATTAAAGCCACCCTAAGTTATCATCTTACCCCAATCAGACTGGCTAGGATCAGGAGAATAAATGATACCAAATACTGGCGAGGATGTGGAGAAAGGGGAACGCTCATTCACTGCTGGTGGAATTGCAAACTCGTACAACCTCTATGGAAAACAGTGTGGAGATTTCCTAAAAAACTAAAAATGAACCTACCATACGACCCGGTTATACAACTCCTTGGCATATACCCAAAGGACTCATCCTATCGTAGAGACACTTAAACAACCATGTTTGTTGCTGCTTTCTTCGCAATAGCTAAGAGATGGAAGCAAACTAAGTGCCCCTCAACTGATGAGTGGTTGACAAAAATGTGGTCTATTTACACAATGAAGTTCTATTTATCAGTAAAGAAAGATGAAATAATGAAATTTGCAGGGGAATGGATGGATCTAGAAACTGTTATACTAAGTGAAGTAACACAGACTCAGAAAAACAAACGACATATGTTTTCCCGCACATGTGGCTCCTAGCATCAAATCCTTTTAAATTCCATGTCCTTTTAATAAGATGGTGCTGTACAGCAGTCCCTTCCGCATGAAATAACTACCATCATCACGACTTCAGCGGAGCCTGATCACTAAACATCGTCACAATTGGGCTTGTTGATGGTTGTGCTCATTCATTAAAGGAGGGCCAAGCAGTGTCACTGGACCCTTACTGGACTATCCAGCCACTCTCCCCAGCCAACTGTATGTAATTTGACCCTAATCACATATGGCCTCCTGGATTTGGGAGGGCTAAAGTATACAATCTGCGGAAGGCTAGGAAGAGAAGACATGACCCATGCTGGGTAAAGGCTATACAGTGTGCATACGCTCAGGTCATCAGTTATCTTGGTAAGTTCAATAAACACATTGGTTTCCCAGTAAAACTTTAATGAAAAATTGGATTGACACTAGAACCTTAAAGGGGAATAAGCATTGCTTAGCATCCCCAGGAAAAGAAGTTTCACAACCGATGGAAAATTTATTTGTTAATGTTATTATGTCTCATAATTATTTTTTTTAAAAAAAGAAAAGAAAATGAGAACATAAAAGATGTTAAAAGGATAAGGGAATGGAGATATTTTCCAAAATAGAAAAAAATGAGAAAGCCTAAGCAAGTGGTAAAGATCTGTGTAGGTTTGCTATGATATATAAAGGATAAGACAAAAATAATAACACATAATCTTAAAATTTCTATGGTCATAGTATAGTCAACTAGTTTAAGGAACAAAATATATTATCTTGTAATGGTTTATCTGAGAAATTTTGATTTTTTACCCAAGCTTTATCTACATAGTACATGATAATTAAAAGTACAAGACTGGTGTAATTAACCTTATTGGATGTTTAACATACATAATTTGAGGCCTATACTAATGTGGTCAGAGGGACTTAAAGGACAGTTTTTTTCCCTTGCCCTCCAAGATCGACTAAGTTCCAGGGGACGATGGAACATCTCTCAAAATGTCTTGTAACTGTGGTGAGTCACCTGTCCTCTTGTTCAGGGAGGCCATGGAGAACCCACCAGGTAGAC